TTAGCGCTGGCAAATCAGTCGATCAGATTGGGTTCGGGTTTGGGTTATTTCAGGGTTGGGATGAGAATTATATGTTCCTGACCCATTATCATCGGTTTTGGGTCAACCTAGCGGATTATGAATTTGCATTGAATAAATTTAAAATATCAAAAATATGCATTAAGTCTATTAGATTTTTTTATTTTAAATTCTGAAGTGATTTTTAGATATATAAATCAATATATAAAATTAAAACGACATAGTTGTGGGGGGGAAAAGTAAAATAATTATGCAATATCATTAAAGTTTGGTTTGAAAATATAAATTTATACACTAAAAACGAGTTGTAAGAAAAAATATAACTATAACCTTATATTTAAAACATTATATTTCATTGTAAAGTATATAATTTTGCAAAACTCTTACATTAGTCGATCAGGTCGGATTTGGGTTTGATCGGGTTTGACCCATTTTTAGCGGGTCATTTCGAGTTTAGTCTTAAATTTTTTGTTCAAACTAGTGTTTCCAAGTCATGATTCAAGTAAAAAATAGATCATATCATTTCTTCCTAGGTCTAGTTTTTATTACTCCCCATATATTATTCTACTTGGTAATGCCATTAAAATTTGGTCCCCTCAAACCGGCCATTGACTAGTTGAGTCATTGTAGATGATTTTTAATGCTCACAATTTCATGAAAAATTCTTTCCATCCATCAAATAATTTATGGACCATTTTAATATTTATATAGGCGTTTTTTATGTTAAAATAAATATTTATTTACTTTATTTCTCGTGTTTATGTGAAAATGTTCATCCCACTAAATCTTATTTTATACAATGTTCCTTTGACACAATTTCAATGTTTAACTTTAACATTTTGAAAATCACTAATATTTTAACAATTGTCATGAACGGGTGGAACAATATTCTTTTACCATGTATTTTTTTACCATATATTCTTTTTGAAAATCACTAGTATTGTTCATTCTGAGAAAAATATCCCATGTATTAATATGATTCTTTTACCCCCTCTCCCCTGCATCCATTAAAAATATAATTTTTCTATTTCATATTATGAAAAATATAGAGTGAAGATAGAAGAATCCAAATAGAAAAATAAACACACTTGAAATTTTGTTGGGGTACAAATTTCATCCCACATCGAAAGTGAAGAACAAGAATGATCTAAATAAATATGGTAATTCACCCTCATTAATGTGAGGTCTTTTGGGAGGTGCGCCAAAATAAACCCGTGAGAGCTTAGTCAGAGCAAGCAATATCATACTAATGCGGGACTGGGGTGGTGGTACACACAATCCCAACATGTAGTATTAGAGCCTAGGTTCGTGCTCGAGTAGCGTGTCCCGCGAGGTTGTAGCGGCGGTGCAAACTCGACCTAGGCTCGTGCTTGAATTAATCTTATACTCCGTAATATTTTAACTTGAACTGAGAAAAAAAATCAAACTCAACTCGCTAAAATGAAATATAACCCGAACTAAGTGAGGTCGGGTTTTGGTCTTGGAATTTACCGACTCGAGAGCAAACATAATAATCATCCTATTCTTAAAAGCAGGGGAATTATGCCCCATGCTTTTTCCCGCCCAATGACTATCATCTATGGACCATTGATTTTAATCTATTACATTTAATCTACGATTATTATTAATCCATGTGTATTACTCGAGATAAAAAGGGAAATACCGTGTGTATTTAATGCATTTTTATTAATTACCAAAATTAATACCGTGTGTATTTACAACATTATTTCCGTGTGTATTCTCGATTATTACCAAAATTAATACCGTGTGTATTTTAATCTATTAGGGAAATACTGTGTGCATTGTGTATCTATTACTATTGGTATTAATTACTAAAATTAATACCGCGTGTATTTAATGCCCAAAATTAATATCGTGCATTCATTACTCGAAAAAGGAAAGCATTGTGCATATACATGTTTAGGTTTTAAAGTATTATAAAAAAAGAAATTTACTTTATACGGTTCCCACCCAAACTCACACCTTTGTGAGCCGTTGATCTTTGAGGATTTGATCATCTACCGTTGATATAAAATATTTCATTAATGTAAACCTACAGCAATCTAAAAATGTAAGAATTTAATGCTATGTTATTACTTTGTTACCATTAAAGGAGGAAATATTACAGTACTCTAAACAAGGTAACAATTTCCTACTATATTATTACCTTGATACCACAAAATGAGGAAATAAATACAAAATGGCAAGAATTAAATAGGAAATGAAAAGCAATTTTTTTCAAACGGAAATAATAAAAAATAAATATATTAATCATAATGTGTTTAAAGTTTTGTAACATGACTCAATAAAAAATCTAATATATTACATT